GGGTATTCACCTGCAACGAGTGGCACGGAATAACAGAAGAAGAAAAAACAATGCTATTGGTCCTAATTTAAACAGAGAGTGCTAGACTGCTTTTCCGCAGAGAAGGGCGGGTTTGGGCGCCCAGGGCTTCGCGTCGCCGTAAGCGGGCACCTCACACCTCAAACAGGCAGGGGGCTGCAGCAAAGGCGACCACCTGCTTATTTGGGCTCGCACCGCGGCGACACACTACACAACCACGCCGTACACAGAAGCCCCTGTGCCGAAGACAACCGCCACCACACCAGCAATGAGGAGGAGGTAGGTGCAAACGTAGTTCACGATCCCCACTGTCGCCACGCTCCAGTTCCCACAGTACATACGGTACAGTGCCGGCAGGCAGAAGCCAAGAATGCCGCCGCAGAGGCTGCCCAGCAGCCCAAAGACGATGTTTACCGATGGGATTAATAGTCCGAGCGTAAGCGCGGCTAAAGATTGTGTTCCACAGAATAGAACATGCCTGTAAGTTGGTATTGTCGCTATATCCCATCCAAGAGCGTAATAGAAGGACTCACGAGCGGGCTGCATACACAGCGCGAATCCGACACAGAGCTGAAAACCAATACCAGTAAGTGAAATAGCGAGTAAGAGGTTGTGATCAATGTCATAGTGTTTTATAATTGAATCCTTTATTTCTGGACCAAAATCGGCGTAACCAAAGAAACCGGTGATTGAATAAGCAATGAAGCAAAAAAACATACCTGATGCAGTATATGTGGTCATCTTTTTAACTGTGGGATCTATTATTTCCTCATATATTTCTAGAGAGTTTACCTGGCAGAGGTATGCAAACATAAACAGGGAAAGCCCCTCAATGGCGATATTGCCCGTTCTCCAAAAGTGGATGTCTTTTCGTATTTTACCATTTCTAAAACCGTTTTGTAGGGCGTGGACAACGACACACGCAATGAAAAATAATAGAGAAAGTATCGCTACTATCGATGCGTAACGCAATGAATTGATGCTCCTAGGCAAAGATGTAGTAAACATTCCCAGAAACCATATTAGAACGGTTATCAATCTCTTTCCGCCTTGCGATCGGAGGTACGACGGTATGGAGTCATCCATAAATGCAGAATCGAGAATATCTCCAATCGATATAATATAGGCAACACATGTGCCAAACGTAAATAACCACATTAATCCTGCACTCAAATAATCCCATCCAGGGCCAAACAAAGTCCTTGCCATGGCCTCATATGAGCCTAGACGTGTTAATTCACGTGTTTCAACTAGTAGTCGGACAGCATAGATTGTAGCCAGTGTCACAATTAGTAAAAGCAAAAAAGAGGGTATTATACCGCTAAAGTTAAAGGCGGATGGCAAAGTAATGACGCCAGCCCCTAGCGTAGCACTAGATAGAGTAAATGTCGCTGATAGAAAGCCCCCATAAGGTACCAGATCGCCTAAATTTACAAGAACACGCTTGAAGCAAGACTGCCGCGTATCTATTCCAAGAACAACATCGCTTGGTATAAGGGGCAAAGAGTATTCATCCACTAACTCTTCACCGTCCTTTCTTAGCATTTTCGATAATAAATGAGCTGTATTTCTACCCCTGAACTCTGCTGGGGATAAAAAGCAAAACAACAACAACAACAACAACAACCAACAGACAACAGATATACGTATATGAGTTATACTTAAATCACAAAAAAAAAACACTGGACACGAGCAGGATGTCCCAGTTCCCAATGGGATAGTTAGTATCTATATATGATGATCCACCTCACTTCTCAGTCGCCATTCTGAAACCACTCCAATACAGAGGTAGCGGCCTTTGGCAATGATTTCCCCCACCGCAATGGTGAATTCATCACTAAGCAGGAAATAACACACGATCCTTTGACGACCAGAAGAACACCTTCCCCAGAATGCAATATCTCTGAAAAGCCATCAGAAAAGCGAAATTCTATAAACAAACCATCCTGACGAAAAGAATTGATAAAACAGGGGCGGGAACGATCGGGAGTCGGTGTCATTTGATGAAAACAAACACATCCATTTTCCCGCATTTTCAAAGCATTTTTGGCCCACGGAAACCGCTTTAACAATTCAACTTTAGACAAATATATAGACTTTTCAACACTAACACCAAGTTCAATGTAAAAGCTGGGGTGACCATCCTCACAAGCAATCAGAAGGTTAGAACCATCTGAAAAATGACAACCAAAATATTCAAATTGTATTTGATAACAAAGAACAACGATAATCTCTTTCTTTGAGTCTTTCCAAATAAAATTCGGAACTATTATCTTGCTGAGTAGCGATGAAAACGGACTCAGTAACAATTTCTCACCACATCCCATGCACAAATCGCGCCCACTTTGTGCACAGTGAAAAAAAGGCGTCTTCAAAAAGTCCTTGGAGCACATGTCACATATGTATCCCATTTTGTACTCCGGCTCAAGATCCAGTGGAAGGATCTCATAGTACCGAAAGATGCATTGATCTCCCGCCTTCATACCTCTAGCTTTAAGAAGCAATGAAAAAAAAAGGTGTATAGCATTTCAAAGGAACAGTTGCAATAGCACACTTCCATAAAAAGAAGTCAAAATACAATTCCATCTGCCTCGCATTCACTGGGAAGAGAAAAATCATGCTGAAATTCAAAACAATTGTCACATAGTAGGAATAATAATAGAAACCCGAAAAACAACAACTGACAAAATTCGGTAAAAAAAAACTGCGAAAAAAAAAGATAACCCCGAAAATAATAGGGAATCAGGGCAAGATGCAAAAAAAAAAACTGGGGATAGGCTGAATTTGGGACCATAATTTCCAGCACTATGCGTGGGCAATACACACACACACACAAAGAGGTTATTGAGGAATTTGTTTTCCTGGCCTCTGGCGAAATAGGCGCAAATTTTGAGGATAGTAAAAATAAATAAGTAACCCTCAGGAGGCAAACCTAGGTGAGATCGCCATGGAGGGGAAAGAAGCAAGTAGATTGGGGAATTAATTACACCAAATAATGTAATGGTAATAGTCCAGACAGCCGATGTTCGGATAAACCCAAAATTTTCCACGAGTAAGCTGGATGAACAATGCACTTTACACCGCACCCGTCTTACCGGTGCTCAGCAGTTGTCGTAATCACCTCATCAAAAAAAAAACTTTAATGAAGTAATGATTCTGAACTTTGCAAGGAAAGAGAAGAAGCAATTAAATACAAAAAAACCATGTGCAAAAAAAAGAAACTTCCTTTAAGGCGAATTCGCTCCATACAAAAAAGAAAAAAAACAGAGAACCGGAGAGGCCACCCAGATACCACACAGGAGGGGCCTGGCGCAAGCACCACCCTTGGAAAAAAAGGTCGCCGAACAGCTGAAGAAGAAAAACAAACCAGGATCGGCGCCGGGGCCAGCCAAAAAGGCAGGGAGGAAGCGCCCCAGGCACGCCTTGGTCGCGGGGGCCCGCCCCACCCGTGACCCCTCAGTTTCTTTTTTTTCTTCGAATAAAAAGGGGCCCACCTCGCCCGGCGCGCCGCGCAGCGCGCCCGCGCGTAAAAGGCGCCCGGGGCTTGCATGTACCGCCTCGCGGCCGCGCCACTCCGCGCGGGAGGGGTTCGCGACTCCCGCCGGCCGCCGCGTGGTTTGCCTCCCCCACCCCCCGCGGGGCCTTTAAGGTTGTCTTCCCGCGAGGCTATTCTAAAGTCACGCGTTTGGTGTTTTTTTTTTGACACTTCTGGGTTTGGGGTCGGTTACCTGCGCATCTGTGCTTTTTTTTTCTCTCCACATCATCTCTGTCGTGGCGTCTTCGTTATATATGTATATATAGATTTAGTTATCTATTTATCTACATTGAATGGATTCCTCTCCAGTAAATCCGTACTTGCTTTTTGAAAGCGCAGAGGAGTTCCGTCCCGTGGATAAGGTTTTGTATGCTCTTAAACACCCTATTGGACAGAAAGACCCAATGGGTTTACGAAAGCCAATTCAGCTAAAAGACCATTGTTACCTCATTCGCTGTACTGAGGAGCTTCGACGTTTGGTCACCGTACCTGTGACGCCTAATACAGCGGCAACGTTTAACGAACAATTTACAGGCTCGCTGTACAGCTCTCCTGAGGCATCATGTATACCTGTGTTTTCTCCGAAAACACATAGTGCACCTGTAGAGGATACTCCGAGTCTCGATGACGAACCATGGGATAACATCTACTCTGGAACAAGTGTCTGGCGTTGGCCTGTGGAAGTGCTATATCAGCACTACCATTTATTGATTGCTATTGATTTTGGGGTTTCAACCTTTGGGGTTTCAAGGAATGGAAAGGTATTAGTTGATCATGTCCCAGATGCCGTACAAGCTCTACTTGATGTGGTGAAAAAAACACTGCATACACGTGAACAGGAAGAAAAAGAAATACGACGTTGGGTTGACATGCATGTGGAGGAGCCGGAGCGTAATAGCATTCTTCGGCAAGTGTGGAAACCACAAATTGATGTTTCTATTGTCCTTATAAATTCACCTAGATTGGAGGTCAATGCCCTGCCTTCTATTTCTCCGACTCTTTCCTCAACTGAAATGGGACGGGGGACAGACATGGAAGGACGTCGTCCATACCTGTTTCCGGTGGGTGCTATACCATTTCCTATCTTTGATGGTGATTTCCCCAATGACACACTGAATCGTTCTCTCTTGATTCCCCTCATGACACGTTGTAACGCTGAGTTGGTGCTGCGCGACGAAACTTTTCTCTCTCGGTTAGAACAACAACTGAGGGCCTACGAAGAGGCATGCTGCTCGCGGCTACTGGATGTTTGGCCTGAGCGGAGTTTGTTTGCCTCCATGGAACACCTGATACGTTTGATTCCAGAGCGATCGCTACATTGCACAAGTCTCGTGCTCCTTAGTAATGCCGATAAAGGTGGATCACATAATAGTTTTTCATTACTGGAAAGCTCTGTACGGAGAAAAAATATCATCATATCTCTTTTGTTCCTGAATGAGACAAATCCGTTCCTTGATTTAAGTACAAATTCTCTATCACAGTTTTTGTCGGCCGTGGGAGGCTTCGGAGTTCATTTTGATCAGTGGCTCTCACTCGCGGCTCCAAAGCTTAATATTGACTGGTGCCGTCGTTTCGGGGGTCCACGTTGCTTGGCGCAGCAGCTATTTGTGCAACTGGATACTAAATTTCCTTTATGCGTGGATCATGTTTCGCCGAATATTTTAACGACGTGTGCTGACCGATCCAGTGATTCTTGTGTCCTGTACAACTCTGACAAGGTTCTTGAAGATTTTACTCTGCTTCGTGAGGGTGATGTTACGACTGCTCTTCGTTGTGTTGCGGAAGCCCGAATCAACGAAGGATGGAGCGTTGTAATGAATCATAACAAAGAAACTCCGCATATTGCCCATCTTTATGCTCGTCTCCAGTGTAATCTTCGACGTGGAAAACTTTTCATTTCGTACGATATGGAGGTTAGTTATCCGGTGGTATATCGCCGTGTTTTGGTCCAAGGCTCAAAGGAGCTTGTGGAATACTTTGTGAAGTTAAGGGGTGATGACAGGGCTGCTATACCCACACCTGCGGAAAATAAAACAGGTTGGTTGATGTACCTTGTAATCTTGCGCTCTCAATTACGTCGTTGGATGCATGCAGAGCAGGTGGCTCTCCAGTGTCTTTTTGCGTCACGCCAAATACGCCGGCTCCTTGTGAAGGACATGCAGGAACTTTCTTTCTCTGAAGGAGTTTCTGATGGGTGGTCGGCACACTGCAGTGTCCGTTCAATTGGGTTCTTCTTTTTCTGGGAGGATGGTCTCTTGCACTGTTTAGACCCCTGTAGAGGGGGCTCATGGGGCACTATGCCCTCGGTTTCAGTATTGGCTCGCCGAGTCCTTGCGGCCACTTTACAAAAGAAGCATAACCCTTTATTCCAAGATGCAAGTGACGCGTTTTTGTCCTTTGTAACTAATGAAGGATCCACTTCTTATGCTGTTCAGCTGTTTCTGCTAGAAAATGCGTTTGCCAATGGCCACGAGGGTTTTTTGGCCGCAGCGTTTGAGTGTCGTTTGAGTTTTTTTTTAACGAGTGTTGGCGAAGAGTTACAAGCGCTGGCAGATATCATCGCCGATGTGAAGGCGGGTGTTTTATCTACTCCAAATACTGCAATTGGTAAGACAACTTTTACCCTTGCGGTGGAGGCTGTGATCGACGAAACGAACGCGCGGGCTCTTCAGCTCACCTTTTGTACTGTTTCACCGCGTCGACTGGATCTAATCTCCAGTTACATTGAACCACCACCATGTCGCCGCAGGGTTGCCCCGAACGGGTTGACGTCCCGTAAAGCTTTGCATTTTAATTCCTCAAAGAAGTTGTCACCTGAGGATGAAATACGGACTGTTCGACAACTGACTTTTCGTTGCTTCCTGACACCGTATTTGGTAAGTCCATCCCTGCTCTCTGACGCTATTGCCTTTTACTGGATGATTGGAACTGCTGAAATGTGGAGGACATTTGCTGTACCCTCTTTTAATACCTTTGTTACGCGCCGTGTTCGCAGTGGGTTTCGATTATTACATTGCATGGAGCCTCGCGAGGCGATACTGTATTCCACACGAGTGTGTGGTGAGGATCATGTGGTGGAAATATTTGACGTTATTGCAGCACCCTCAGAGAGTGGCGACAGTGAACTTTCGGCGCAGCTGATTATTTACAGGTTCATACGCCCTTTTGAAGTTGCTCTTTCGTCGTTGTACCAACATGAACTTACTGCGGATATTTCAGAAGATATTCAGGTTGCTACAGTACTTCATACGTTTAAGGTGTTTTCTTCGGCATCGTTGGCATCAGCAGTTGATAGTCCGCTGCCTGCTAAAGAGTTGGGTCGGGGATTCATTCAACTTGTTCCAAGGCTCGAGTCACTGCTTCCTTTCCTGTCAGCTAGGCATGCTTACACTATTACGCTACGCTCCCTCCCATCACTTGGGGAAAGAGGCGACGACGACCTTCGAGAGGCGGTGGCCCTGTTTGTTTCCTCGCTAGGGGACCGATCCGCAACAGTTGATGCGTCTGCTCTTTCTGAAAGTCTGCGACAAAAACTCTGTGGCTTAGACAATTTGGATGAAAGCTTCCAAGGACCGAAACAGTTCTTTGCCTCCGTATTGATGCTGCTGGAGTGCAATTATTTGGCTTTTCTTCTAATGCCTCGTGTATGCCATACTACGACGTTGAAGCGAGCAAAAGGGATTAATGTCCATGCTATCTCGTTAGACACCACGGCTCTTTTCAAGGGTGTTATGCGACTTTATGGTAAGTCAGGTGAGGTTGAAGAGGTGAATGAGACGCGTTTACCCGACCGTTCTACTTATGTACTGCTGAATGCTTTGACCAAGTTGCTCACCTCCTTTTGCTCGCTTTATCAAGCCTGGAGACTTCTTGAGCAGCAGTGCGACGGTATGGAGCGCAACGCGGTTAACAAAACTGTTGTTGCGCAAGACGTTCTGAGGACGTTTTCGACGTTTCAGGACTACTGTAAGGAGGTGGATATTTCATATCTTCTTTTCGTTCAGGAGAGTAAATGGAAAGATCGCGGCGGTGAGGTCTCTCTTCACGAGGGGCTGCGTTCGTTGATCACGTCAATGGTGCGTTCTATGTGTCTTCGACCCTTACCGACACATCCTGCAGTTTTTCTCCCCATGTACGAGAGAAATCAGAATTACGAAGAAGGGCTTACTGGGGATCTTGCAGCGCAAAATGCCCTGACGGCAACGCCGTCAGCCGACGCTCTTCATCAGAATCCTGCGGTACTTCCATTTCTCATGAGGATCGCACTCTTTCTTGTCTCGGAGGACGGGAGGGACGTGGATTGCGTTTGTATCTTCTCACCTGAGCATGGACCAGATGAACTGGGGGATGCGCACGCGCTTTGCTGGTCGCCTATTGCTTCAAATAAGTTGCAGCATGCCTCCCAGAGGCGGCTTCTGATGCGTTTTTTTGTAAAGACTGCCCCCAAGCAACTCGTGGATCTCTCGCGTGACACGTACAATCCACCCGCGGAGGTGATACAACGCATCTTTAGAGAACTTTTGCACGATCGGCAGGAAATCCCGTTGACCGAGGCGAAGTCACCACCACTTTTTTTTGCCAAGGAATCATCTGTAAAGGAGTTAAACTTACTCTCTAGACAGGCCTTGCCATTTGCCGAGCTACCGACGACGGTGCGACGTTTTTTTTGATGTCCTGGCAGCGGACCTCGCTAGGAGTGTGGCGTACCACTGCTTGACGGAGTGCTTACATTCCGCACCCTTCGCGACACTACGTTCTCTCATTCAAAGTGAACCAACAACCATCGAGTCGGCTGCTTCTCTAACCGACTCGGAAGGTATAAGTAATAATAAGGACAACAACAACAACAGCAGCAGCAGCAACAAGGATGCTAATGACGATGAGGATAATTTGGACCGAGAGGCAGCGTATTTCTCTCTCTTGGCACACGAATCACAAGATATTTTGAATAATGTTTCTCATATTCGTGGTCTTGCGGAACTCTTGGCTTGTGCAGTGGCACCCGCCCTACTTAGTGTTCCTTGTTTTGAGGCGGATTCATTTACATTGGAGTTCACGCAGCAGTGCTCGTCTAGTGCCGCGGTGAACCCTGCATTGGCCCTTTCCCATGTCTTTAAGCGTTGCCTAGCGGATGACCTGGTCTGTGTTGTTCAGGCCACCTCCTCAAGTTTTCTGCTGGTGCCCAATAGGAAATACTTTGCCTCACGATGGATATTTATTCACGTGACCACCGACGCAAGTGACGGTGCTCAGCGGGTGCGCCTTTTGTTTAACGAACATGATGGCGATCCAGGCGTCTGTCGACGTCTCTGCAAAGGACTTCGTAGCCTGATCGAGGCGAAGGTGAGGGAGGTCAGTCAGTTGCAGCTTTTAAAGCAGTTGCGGGATACGCAAAACGCAAATAATGAATTGATACCGCGTAACTGGGGCGACCAGTTCGCCTCTCCACCTACACTTGCCAGGGGGAATCGTGAATCTGCAGCGTCTCTGTCGGCTGTGTTTAACTGTCGGGGCTCGACGGTTCTAAAACTGCCCATCTACTATAAATTACAGCATCAATGTAAAAGGATACTGTCTCGCATCAGTAGTAATTCCGCCAGGCTCGAGCTACTCAATATTTACAACAGGGAGCAGTGTTTTGTGGTGGCTGATGATGTTCAGGCGGACGTGTTTCACTTTATTCGGCTTGTGTTTGTGAAGGACACTGCACATCTCCCATCGCTGACTGTGCCCTCACCTGCGCTTTCCCCTGCCGACCGCTGTCCTCTGCTGGTGGTGCAGTTGTTCAGCTCCACCAAAAATGCGCTTGTGCAACGTCCCCTCCGCAAGCTACAGGATTTCTGCTTTTTTTTGGCCGTACAAGAGCTTCAAGGACATCTGAACTATGTGCAACACAAGTTTATCTCCACGGTGGATCTTATTTTCCTGCAGTGTCGCCGTCGTGAGCCTGTTATTGTAGACTTGGTAGAAGCTGGTGGAGGGGTGCCCTTGCAGCCAACGGATGTCCAGCTCGCCTTTGCTTTGGTCGTTTTAGGCCTCAAGGAGAACAAATTCAAGTACTTTGACGTTGAGGGCGGCGGAAACGCCGCAATCAGTAACTTTGCGGAATATTATGGACTTTTTGAGGAAGCGGAAAAAAAGTTAGGTGAAGGCGGCGGAGAAGCACTTACTTTTCATCTTGATTGCCCTGGAGAGGCGGAGACGCCTACAACCACACCTTCCGCGCCAGCATCTGTGCTACGCTTTGTGAAGGTGATTGAGGGTGTGACAGACATGCTTGTCTCCTGCACACTTTATGTGGCTGACGGGTCACGACTGGTGGTGGACCGCTTTCTGACAAAAATGCCGGACGAGCGGTACACGATAGGTGAATCGGAGACGACGTATCTTAAGCAGATTGAGCACATTCTCGAAGCCGCGGTGTCGCATTGGCGATTTTTCGCCCTCTCGAAGCGCTTTTGCACCTTTTCCTCTTCCCAGGTCGTTTCCGCTGCAGAGGAGTTGATTACATGTGCTTCAGGCACTGCCTCGACGGAGTCGTCCACACTTCGCTTTGGGAAATTTTCCTTGACGCGCGTTAGTCACGCCGTGTTTCCGTTTCTTATTGAGCGGCTTGTGGGGGTTTTTCAGCCTTTTTCACCGGTTTGCTTCCTCAAGCGACCCAATGCCCCGCCCCTGCACATAGCTGGTTTCCCGTGGCGGTGGATTGAGCAGCTGCAGGCGGAACCCCAGGCGGAGCAGATCGAGGTTTACCTCACTTGTGGCTACCAGATTACGATGCGTGGCGAAAAAAGTGAGGAGCAGGCAGTACAGGCAACTCGCGCCATGCATGAACCCAACCCACACCTCCCTCTGAGCCAGGCGACAGTACTGACGCAGAGCCCCTTATTAAAGGAGCACAATATGGAAGTGGGGATGCCAACGGAACCACGCGTGGTGGCGCGCGTTTCTTTGACGAACGGTGTGACAGCCGCTCTTTTTAATCTACGCGACTCCGATATTGTGCTGCGCTTAATGGGGCACGTGATCGCAAAGGCGGAGCAGCAGTCTGACCTGCTACATGACATTATGGTGCAGAGAATGGGATTTGCGCTTGCATCTTACCTCACGGAGCCAGCGTTGGCACACTTTTGCTGTGGTGACGACAGCAATGTGACTGGGGGAAGGCGGTTATGCATTCACGATGAAACCTACCGAAGACGCATTAATCATGTACGCTTTCCACTTCAAAGCTCGTGCGGTGCCGATGCTTTGACGATTGTTGTGGAAGGACTGTTTAACCGCGGACTTATTGTGAATGGAGCCTTTGTTGAAGAGGATGCGGTTCACGTGCTGTATGACGAATGCCCCCAGTATTCCGTGAAGGAATGCAAGCGAATTATGCAGGAATTGGTAAAGGATGGCTTGCTTACGATGTGGAATAAACCAAGTGGCCGTCGTTTAGCGAACTCAAACCGTATTCCCGATGATGCACTTATCGCATGCGACTTTCGCAGACACGTACAGACAGCCCACATTCTTGTGGAGTCACAACACGCGCGTTCGGGCATCATAGAGTCGCTGCAAGCCGCTGAGTCTCTCTTGGGTTTGCCACCGATGGAGAGCGGGATACCGTTGGCCAAACTAGTTGTACTTCTCCAGGGCCGCAGCAAACAGATATTTGGAGCCCGCGTACAGGACTTTACCCTGCCTCGCCGTTCGCCGTGGTGCCTCTCGGACGACATTCTTGATCCCTCCTTGCCCCGGAGAGGCAAACTTGGTTCCGAGTACCGCTTGTCGGTTGACGCAACTCTGCAGTCGTACGTGCAGTATCTTCTACGCGTCTTTCCGCGGGCACGCGTCATTGACCTGGACGCCAGCAACTCCATTGTGTCGTCCGATGCGACGCTACTGCATCGCTTTCGTTGCCGCTACGGCAAGGTTGTGACTCCCGACGGAAATGAGATATGTTTTGTGCCTCATTTGTACTACGTGCTGGTTCCCATGGAAGACACGCGCACCACGGAGCGCGGCGACGGCGATCTTGCCGCATCCGCCTCGCTGAGAAAAGGGGGACTGTTTATCTTGGAGATTGGCTTTCAAGTCGTTTATTTTGCGCTTGACGTGTTCATGGTCAGCGGGGAGTCTATGTCTGCCAGCATGGCTGCTCTCTCCGCCGTCAGATTTAGGCGTAGCCTCACTTTCAGCAGTGTTCTGTACGACTTGACGGTGAATCGTATGCTGCGCTACGTGCAGATGTATGCGTCACTCCTGTTTGGTCAAATGCCGACGTCGGATGCCCTTGAAAATCTCGTTAGACAGTACCCGCATCCGCCGCGTGAAAGTCTCAGCATTGTGGCTGCCTTTGATGTCGAGGAGTCCTGCGTGCGGAGGGCGCAGAAAATTGTGGCAAAAACCTTCTCTGTGGGCCCCGACAGCAACGGTATGCGGCAGCTGATCCCAAAACAGGGCGAGGTGCTGCTGAGGGAATCCACCCAGGAAAGGTACCACTACTGTGGGGTGATGGTCTGGGCAACCTCACGCCTGTTTGTCTTGCTTTGCACCGTCCGTGACGTCACCGTGTGCGATCGTTGTGCCAACGGCGACCTTCCCAAACTTGCGCTCGCTGCCAAGCGCCAGTTGCTACAGCTGCTTCTCGACAGTATGCTCCAGCAGCGACTTGAATTTGCGTGGGATAAAATACGCACACCCCTGGACGCAGACAATGACAGTGACGCCGATGATAGCACTGATAGTTCCGAGCAAGGACCCTCTAGAGAGGATCTACGGACGCTGCAAGCACATTGGAGGAAGTATCGTCTTGCCAATGTATCTAAACCCTTTCTACAGCTTCAGTCTGACTGGAAATCGATACTGACGAGACAAAGCGGTGCCATTTCGGCAGCGTGCGAGCCCAACTACACCCTTCACCTCTTTCTGGAGGAGTCTGGAGGAAATGTTTATGGGACGCACGGTAAAGTTATTGACAACACCATTGCGTTGACCTTGTCAGCCCGTCGGATGGATCGAAGGTGCTTTGTTGCTGTGGAGTTCACAGCTGGTGTGTCGGGTTCCATCGAGAGTGCCGCGCTCTATCGTGGGACGAGTGAGCGAGGCGCCGTCAATAAGCTGCTGGAGGAGGAGGAGGATGCGGTGTTAATAGAGCAAACAATGAAGCTGCTTTCTAGCGCCTTATGGGGACACATTTGCCACTGACAGGGGGTGAGGATTCCGTTGCGTGTGCTTTGAAGCGGGTTGGGACGGAGAAGAAAAAAAAAAGAAGAAGATATACAACGTAGTTGAAGTTGAAGGGCAAATACTCTCTCTCACTCTTTCCTTGCCGTGTTTTATTACCCATTCCCTGTCCCCCCTGGTCACACGGCTTTTTTTTTTTTTGCTTCTTTGTTTGTTGTTGTTGTTCCGCATGCGGGAGGCTGGGGAGAAAGAGTATTTGTTGCATTGCAGCTGCCCTCGCTGACTCTGTGGCCCCCGCCTCCCCACCGCATCGCAGACCGTGACTTCCCAAGCGGCCACCCACGCATTATTGGCTCCGGCTGGCGTGATTGGACGCGCCATTTCTGGTTTGTTGGTGCTGCTGTAGATGCGTTGATTTCATCGCGCCTGCTGTTTGCTGCTTGAAGTCTGTATTACAAGAGAGTCGCAGGCTGTCCTTCACCAAAGTTACGAGTGCACGTGCTGCGGGGAGTTTGCGTGCCCGCGTGTCCGGGAGTGAGTGAGAGTGAGAGAGAAATGAAGAGAATGCAAGCAGAAGTTGACACATGTTTTATAGTTTCTTTTGAGAGAACACCCAAACTAGGGGAAGCGGGTGTGCATTGCCAGGGGATGAGAGCTTTGTTTTCCCGTTTGGGTGCCATTTTCGCTTTTTTCCTTCTTTCCCCCTCTCTTTTTCTTTCCACAGGAACCCGACTGCCAGCAGCTACCAGTAACACCGCTAGAGGCCAACAAACGCCGCATCGGCACCATCGTGACACCCACACGCTACGGGAGAATCCCCTCGGATACAGTTGCCAACTGTCTCGATGCGAGACGGCGAGTGTGGCGACTGCGCTGCCGCACCAACATCGTGGGGGCGGGGATGATGGTGCCCTGCAGGTATACTGGGCGGTACACGGCGCCGCAGTGCGTTATGAGGAGGAAAAAGGGGTACGTGTTGGCAGTTCAGCTCCACCCGCAACTGTTCCAGAAGGTTTATTTTTGCTCCTCGCCCCGTCCCCCCATTGGCTGCGCTGTGCCCTGGCCACTAGCAGTGAATTTCCCTCGTTGGCAGCGAGGAAGAGATGGAGCTCGCCACACATGCAGCTGCCACGTACAGTGACTCTCTCTGGTGAATCTTTTGGAGGG